ATATATATAAATTAATTATTTTATTTATAAATTAAAATGGGATTCATTTCATTTTAAATGAATTATTTATTTAAATATAAAATAAGTGTGTATAAAATAATATGAGCTAAAAATTGGGGCAATAAAGTGTTTTAAATTGGTTCAACATCAATAAAAGTATTGGACTAACTTGTTAGGAGTAAAAGAGTTTTTAAGGGTCCAACAAGTTAGCCCCAAAGGAGAATTCAAGGAGGGATGAGATTAGTAATGACAGTTTTGTAAATAAGTATTTTTGTTTTAAAAGGCGATATAAATACCCTAAAAACTCAACAATTTCACACTTAAAAATCAAATTTGTCAAATTTTACAAAACTCCAAACTTTTTCTCTTATTTTTCTCTCTCCTTTTTCCTCTTTTTTACCTCTCTTTCTCACGCCTCTCTCCTCCTATCAACCACCGGCAACCACCAGTGCCACCACTGACCACCAGCCTTAGCCGGCGACCACCAGTCGGCCATCGTCTCTCTCCTCTCTTTTCGATTTTGGTACAAAAAAAAACTCTCTTTCTCCTAATTTAATTTCTAAGTTTGTTTTAATTAATTCAAGGCATGATTTTAATTATATTTTGATGTTGTTTTTGGGTAGTTGATGCTGTTAATTTATTCTTATAATTTTCAGATTTTAATTTGATTAAAAACCCCAATATACAAACCCTAGAATTTGGATATTGAATGTTTATGATTAGGCTTTGATTCTAGGTTGTTGTGGTTGTTAACTTAATGATTAGAACATGTTTTAAATGAGTTTTAAGACCTCAATTAATGCTGGAATTTAATTATACACACTACTTTTTAATTATTATGTTAGGGTTTGATTACCCATAAAAGGAAAAAGGTTCTTGATGATTTAAATGTGATTTTCTAGTTGATTAGTGATGTTTTATAATAAATAAGTATGCTAAAATTTTATTTAAGTCGTGAAAAGTAAGTCTTTTTGAAAGAGTTTTAAGTACCCACTTAAAGAAAAGGTTTTAAGCCTTTTAAACCATTAAATTGGGTTAATTAGTGAGGTTTAAAGTATATTATTGTTGCTGGAAATTTGTGAGAATAGAGGAATAATTATGGTTATGTATTTTTATTTGTAGGAAGCTTTGAGCTAGGTGATTTCTAGCGAGTGTGGCTGAGTTTAGGCATTATTCAAGGTACGTATGCGCATAGAAATATTTGTGTGTGCGTAATATCAAGTTAGGGAAGTAAAGTATGTTTCAAGTGATGAATTAGTAGCATGTTTGGTTGATTAAATGCTTGGATTGGATGTTGGTTGATCATGAATTATTATGCAAGCATGTGAATATGTTATTTGAGGCATGATACAGGTTGAATATATGTGAATCATGTAAGTATGTTTTATTTTTCAGTGTCAAGGAAGAATGAATTTAATAAGCAAGGCTTATGTATGTTTATAAGAGCTAAAGTTAAAATTTTTGAGCATGATTCATGATTTTATTCTCGCCCATATATTATTGGAGTTGAGTCAAGAAGTTAGTTTATTTATTTACTCACTCATGTAAGTTGAGATTGAGTCAAGGAAGTTTATGTTAAGGATTGATCTTCTCAAAGTAAATATCTTCTATTATTTTGTTACCTTGATTCTAGGAATATAAGTCAGTAATTTAGTCTATATAATTTAGCCTTAACCCCCTCCTTAATCCTAGTGATTGATTGATTGTAATCTTATACAGCCTAACTTATGCTAAAGCCCTTACCAGTTGTATACTAATATATGTAACCGTTTAATAAGAAATTACTACTTCTTTCATAACTCTTATATGGTATCAACCTACCGATCTCCTCCCTCTACTTAATTTTTCTTTCTTCTAAAACCAAATTGGCCAATTCAAACTCTATTCCTTCTTATCAAATTCCCAATGGGAATGACCCTGCCAAACCCTTCACTTTTCTCAATATCCAGACCACTATCAAACTCACCCCTGTAAACTACCTTTTCTGGAAAATTCAAATCAAAGCTGTACTCGTCGGCCATGATTTGTTTCAATACATTGATGGCTCCCTTCCATGCCCTCCTTCTATTATCACCTCTTCTAGTGGTGAAGAGGAACCCAACCTAGATCATGTTTTTTGGACTCGCCAAGATCGTCTTCTCTTTGGTGCTTTAATCGGCACATTATCACCAAACCTTGTTCCCTTGGTCTCTGAGGCTCGTACCTCCAAGCATCTGTGGGACATTCTCAAATGCACTTATGCTCTTCCTACTCGTGGCCACATCAAACAAGTCAAGGATCAACTAAATCGCATCACCAAGGGTGGTCAATTCATCACTGAATATATGCAATCTCTTAAAACTTGTGCCGATCGTTTAGCCTCATTGGGCAAGAAGCTTGAACACGAGGATTTAATTGATCGAGTCCTCTTTGGCCTTGATGACTCCTACAACTCAGTCATCAAATTGGTGATGCTAGGGATACACCCATCTCATTTGAGAAACTGCACGAGAAACTTATAAACAAGGAGCTCTCCTTGCAGCAAAGCTATACTGATCCCTCACTTCCTGCCACTGCCTTTGCAGCGTCAACAAGGCCTCACTTCCGTACCTACGGTAAAAACAACAATTGTACCAATACTACAGGTATTCTTCCAACTCCCAACAACCATACTAAGTAATCAAAACCTTTTCTCGGCAAATGCCAACGGTGCCGTGAACAGGGTCATGTTGTTGCTCATTGCAATTTTTTTAAACAACAGTTTCCTAATGCTACACCACCACCACACAACAACCGTCCAACTCCTATGCCACAAGCCAACACTGCCAATCTTGCTACATCATCCTCTTCCACCTGGATTCTTGATAGCGGTGCCTCCCACCATGTAACAGCAAACTTAAACAATCTCTCTATGCACACTCCATATGATGGGAGTGGAGAACTAGTTGTTGGTGACAGTAAAGGCCTAAAAATTAATCACTTTGGTTCTATAATCTTCTCAAATTCTCTAAAACTTAACAATGTTCTTGTTGTTCCTGCTATATCCAAAAATATTATTTCCATATCTCAATTATGTCAAGATAATAATATTTCTATCATTTTCTCATCCACTTCTTTTCTTGTGAAGGATCTGACAATGGAGGCATCTCTCTTCCAGGGGAAAATTAAGTCTGACATCTATGAAGTCCAAACCACTTCTCCTAAGGTCTACACAAGCACAACTACTAGTTCCCTTGATTGGCATCACCGATTAGGACATCCATCCCAATATGCCTTTAGGAAAATTATCTCTACAAATAAACTAAATGTATACAGGATCTCTACTCTAGAATGTAATTCTTGTGCTTGTAATACAAGTCATCGTCTTCCATTCTCTATATCTTCCATTACTTCTTCTGCTCCTCTCGAATATGTTTATACCGACCTACGGACTTCTCCAGTTTACTCTTATGATGGTTTCAAATATTACGTAATTTTTGAGGATCACTATACCAAATACATTTGGTTATATCATATTAAAAATAAATTCATCCGGTATAAAGCTCTTGTTGAAAAATACTTTCAATTACCCCTTAAAACTCTCTACTCGGATAATGGTGGTGAATATGAATCCCTTAAAACATTCCTCTCTATTGATGGTATCTCTCACTTAACTACACCTCCTCATATCCCTCAACACAATGGCTATTCCAAATGTCGTCATCGCCATGTTGTTGAAACATTTCTCTCCTTACTAACACACACCAACATGCCTCTTGAATATTGGACCCATGCTTGTTCCACTGCCACTTATTTAATTAATCGCCTACCGACTCCAACACTAAACAATGAATCGCCCTACTCTACATTGTTTGGTGTTCAACCCAACTATAGTAAACTAAGGATCTTTGGCTGCCTTTGTTACCCCTTTCATAAACCCTACAATTCTCATAAATTGGAACTAAAATCCAAACCATGTGTCTTTCTTGGGTATTTACCCACACAAAGGGCCTATTATTGTCTAGAATTAAACTCTCATCGTATCTACACTTCTAGGCATGTTCATTTCATAGAAAACAAATTCCCTTTCTCTGAGAAAAATATTTCTCTTCCTTCACATTCATCATTGGTCGAAAAATGGGCACATCTTACCTTACCCATTCTAACTCCTACACCAAACCCACCCCACTCCTCAAATAACCCCACTACCACTCCTTCTACTGCTGAAACATTAGACCACACACCTTCTTCCACTCCACCCACGCATGCCTCTCTCACACCTTCTCCTCCCTCATCACCACAAAATGTGAACCACCATGCACCTTCATCACCACAAATGGACACCCGACTTTAACATGGCATTAGGAAACCAATTGACAAATTGAATTTAAATGCAGAGGTTGTTGATATTGAGGTTCCGAAAAATATTACACAAGCTCTCAAAAGTCCAGTGTGGAGAAAAGCCATGGATGCCGAAATCAATGCTTTGATGAAAAATAAAACGTGGGATCTTGTTCCCTTCTCTCCTTCACAAAATGTAGTGGGGTACAAATGGATTTTTCGAATTAAGAAAGATAAAGACGGCAGTATCATTCAATACAAGGCTAGCTATGTTGCAAAGGGAGTTAATCAAAGGCCGGGAATCGACTATGGTGAAACATTTAGCCCTGTTGTAAAATCCACAACAGTCCCTCTTATTCTCTCCCTTGCCGTTAGCCAAAGTTAGCCTCTTCGCCAATTGGACATCAGTAATGCCTTTCTCCAAGGCACTTTAACTGATGATGTTTATACCATTCAACCACCGGGTTATAGTGATCCTAATTAATAATCCTACATATGTGTGCAAGCTAAACAAAGCCATTTACGGGTTAAAACAAGCACCGAGAGCATGGTATAATGAATTGCGCCAACATTTGATTCACTTGGGATTTTAGAAAACTATCTCTGACTCCTCTTTGTTCACTCTCCACAAAAATGGTAACATCATTTATTTAATTGTCTACGTTGAAAATATTATTGTGACAAGCAATACATCATCATTCATGGAATCTTTTATTCAACAACTTGCTGCTCGTTTCTCCTTAAAAGACTTGGGTGATCTCTCATACTTTCTAGGAGTTGAAGTCATGCCCCATACAAATGGTCTTTTCTTAAGTCAAAAGAAGTATATTAATGAAATTTTGTGCAAAGCCAACATGGATGATGCCAGACCAGTTGCCACACCCATTGTCATGGATCCTCCTTTGTCCATTCATGGAGAGCCACTGCCGGATCCTACAAAATGCCGCCAACTCATTGGTAGTCTTCAATATCTTGGTCTAACACATCCCGACGTTGCCTTCACAGTCAATAAGTAAGCCAAATATATGCAAAGACCAACTGATCAACATATGCAAGCATTACATCGCCTCCTACGGTACCTCAGTGGCACATCCAACATGGGTTTAACTTGGCATAAAAACTCTCCTCTTACTATCCATGCTTTCTCCGACTCTGATTGGGCTAGAGATAAGGATGATTATATCTCCACAACAGCATATATTGTTTACTTAGACAAGAACCCAATCTCTTGGTCATCAAGAAAACAACGCTCAAGAGCAAGGTCCTCCTCTAAGGTCGAGTATCGAGCCGTGGAAAATGCTACGGCTGAAATCTTATGGGTGCGAAATTTGTTTAAGGAACTTGGTCATAAAGTTACAACAACTCCAGTCATCTATTGTGACATTGCCGGAGCCACTTATGTAAGTGCAAACCCGGTGTTTCACTCTAAAAAGAAACACTTAGCTCTTGATTATCACTTTGTAAAGGAGAATGTTCAAAGTGGTCAGCTCCTAGTTTCTTACATTTCAACCAAATGACCAACTTGCAGATGCTCTTACCAAGCCATTACCAAGATAAACTTTCACTACTCTAACAAGCAAAATCGGGCTCTCATCTTGGCCGCCCGTTTTGAAGGGGCGTGTTAAGGATTGATCTTCTCAAAGTAAATATCTTCTATTATTTTGTTAATATTCTCTACCTTGATTCTAGGTATATTAGTCAGTAATTTACTCTATATAATTTAGCCTTAATCCCCTCCTTAATCTTAGTGATTGATTGATTGTAATCATGTATAACCTAACTTAAGCCAAAGCCCTTACCATTTGTATACTATATATATATATATATATATATATATATATATATATATATATATATATATGTATGTATGTAATCGTTTAATGAGAAATTACAACTTCTTTCATAACTCTTATGTGTTGATTATTGTTATGTTTGTTCTTGATTGAATGGTTGGAGTCATCACAAGTTAATTTGGTAAATCACGTAAAGTGTAAGAGGATACGCACCAAAACTCTTAGAACGTATTCACCATGAGTATGAACATATGGGGGGAGTTATGTGACTTTATATTTGATCATAGCTTCTACAAGAGTACAGGACGTTGTACTTTCTTTTATTATTAATGCGCTGGAATTCCGTCACAAGTGTGACATAGTAGGTGCCAATTGGGGTAGCTCCCTAATTAGAAGCTCCATATTTTAAAGAGCTATTTTTAAGGAAGAAAACTTGTTCGATGCGTAATCCAAAGCTATTTATTAATAATTAATATTGTTAGTTAGGAGTCAAAGGTAAGTTAACTTGTGAATTGTATGGCGAGCATGTTTTATTTATTATTGTTTGGATGATCATGTTAGTGTGGTGCATATGTACTCAGCTTTTGTTGTTTCGTACTTTTGTATTTGTGTTTGGTTTTATTTTGGATTGGCCCTACTATGACCCATTGATATGGTGAGTAGAGAGGTTAAAAAAAAGATAAAGTGACAGGTACTTGAAGCATGAAGGGAATGAGTGTAGAAAGTTACTTGTTATGCTTTCTTAGTTTTATATTATGAATTATTGATTTATTAATTATGGACTAACATTGTTATAGTTTTTTAAATTGGTTTTGAAGGGCCATGTTTATATTGGTTCCAACTTGTAGATGTTTTATTTTACTTATATTTTGAGGTGTGAACTCAAGTTATTTATTTAATTTTGAAAAGTTGATTTTTAAGTTAGACTTTTGTTGTATGACTTTGAAAATAGTCTTAGCCGTTATCACGGTGGCAATAATATTTTGGTTATTTCCTAAAATGAGTTTTATTTAGAGTAAAAAGAGTATTTTAAAAGAAGGAAGTTTCCAGGGTATTACAATCTAGTGGTTAGATTTGGGCATATGATATGTCTTTGGAAGGCCTATATGTCTTCTATAATAACATATTAAAAATTAGAATCCATCTAACGGTTACATTATGAGAGATAGAATTTTCTTTAAAATCTCTCTAGTTTGGGATGTTCATGGGAAATGGGGTGGTAATGGTCAAAATACTTCGAAAATGCCATATTCCTTTTAAAGGTATATTAATGACATATATATATATATGTATATATATATATATGTATGTATATATATGTATATATATATATATGTATATATATATATATATATGTATATGTATATGTATATATGTATATGTATATGTATATATGTATATGCATATGTATATATGTATATGCATATGTATATATGTATATGTATATATGTATATGTATATGTGTATATATATATATACATATACATATACATATATATATATATATATACATATACATATATATATATACACACACACACACACATATATATATATATATATATATATATATATGTATAAGTGCTCTACATAAAATTCTCATTTTTAGAAGCTATTTGATATGTTATATAAAAATAATACTCTTGGTTGGAAAGAGCAGTCTTGAACCAAGTTAGTGTTAATACTCTACTAGGTTAAACCCGTGTGATGCACGGTTTAAATAAAATCTATTTTTGTAATTTGTACATTTTAAAAATAAATGATAAATATAAATAAGAATTATGCACTTTGTACAAAAATATTTTAAATTTTATAGTTTTAGATTTAATCAAAATTATGATACAATACATGTTCAACGCTGCCTAATACATATTTTAATGTAGGAATCCATTTATTAGTGTGCTATTTACAATTGTTTGAATTTTTAAAGATAAATTAATAGGTTGTAGTAGTAATGTCGAAGGTTCTAATATTCAAATTAAAATATGGTAGATATACCCAAAAAAAATGACATCATTCTTGTATTTAGGCGGGAAAAAATTTATTTTTTGAGTGACACGTAGACAGTGATGATGTCAGCAATGTTTTGTTTTAGTAATAGTTAATAGATTTTGTAAAAATTATAAAAAATAAAGGTTACACATACACAAGGTGTATGTGAACCCAACATACACCTGTGTTGTGTCAGCATTTCATTGGTTAACATTTTGGGTCCTAAAAAATATATTTTCTAAAATTTCACTTGAATTTCAATTCAAAATTCAAATGAAATTTGGCTTTTCAATGCACATTAATGGCACCCACTTTCTCCAACTACCCCCACCTTATCTCCTCTTATTTCGTCAGTCAAATTATTTTTTTTGTTCTAATTTTCAATTCTCTTTTCTCTATCATCAATGGTTCTTCATGTTCATCTATTCTTCTCTTTTTTTTTCTAGATATGTTTGTGAAAATAATTATATGTATATTATTTCATGCATATATATTTTCCTAGTTTGTGTTTCTTAACTATATTCCAAATATCAATCTTCTACCTACAATTGAACTCTTGAAATCAGTTTATAATGTTTAATATTCTGGATTTGAATTTTTTCTCTCTCCCCTCTTCTAATGTTCTCCTTCTTGGTCATGTTTTTGATGTTATTTTATATTTTTTTTTCCCTGATTGTCTCGGCACTTTATTTGTTTTTATTAATGTGTCACAAATCTAATTTTCAGGTTTTTATATTCCGTGCCGAAAATTTTATCTAACAATTTGTTCCATTTTTTTAAGATTTTTTTTTGTCGAACAATTTTTTTTTAGAAAATGAATGTAAATTTGTAACATTTTTCTGTTATTGATTTGTATTAATTTGAAATATCTGATATTAGCCTTCCATCTTATTCAATCTTCAACATTTTGTATTATAGATTTCTAATAATATTTCCTGTCATTTTCCATTATATGATTTATTTCTCTTCATCCAAATTCGATTGTGATGTAAATTGAAATATCAATATTTCCAATTGATTTTTAATAAAGTTATGAAAGATAATATTTCGTTCATGAAAAATGAAATATCGTTAATTCAAATGTTCTTCAGTTTTTCCTTATTTTCAACATCAAAGTTTTGTAAGTTAGATTATTTTTTAGTAACACAAGATCGGAGTTGTAGTAATCACAATGATAAAACATTAACCTCATTGATTTATCCCAGTAGCCGATTAGTAAGAAACTAAGATGGACACTTTAGTAATCATAATGACAAAACATTAACCTACTTAATTTATCATGGTAATAGATTAGTAAGAATTGAAGCTTCTGGTTTAGAACCAAACATCATGCTTAATGCAGGAAACTTTTGTAGTATGTTATATGTTTATTAAAATAGAAAATAAACCAGTGCAAAACAAAATTATATTAAAGTTTAATTTATTAATAAAAATAACATGTTCAGACGATTGGAATTTTGTAATATGTGTAGTAAGTAGTAACAATTATAATTTAAATAGTATTCTAAATCTATTTTACAGTTTGAAAAAAAAAAGCCTAGCGTTCCTTCTCATGGCCCAGTCTTGTTTACATTAAGTAATTTAAGTGTCGAATTGTTAACATGGTGAATATCCCGTAATCTTGGTTATTAATGCAGCAATGGAAATGCTTTTATGGATGTTATCCCGAGTTCGAATCTTGGTTACTATTACTACATGTTATCCACTCATGTATATAATTTTTTTGAACTTTTTACAGTATATATATCTAGTAGTAGAAAAAATCAGGTTTATGTTTTTTATATGTTACAAATTGATATTTTTAGTAACCATCCACTATTTGTTTTAATCACTTAGAAGTTGTGATTCCAAATCCTAATGTATATGGCCTATATGCTATAGACAAAATGGTGTAATATTGAAAACGATAGAATAGATGAATAAGAACAATTATATAATATACTTCTTCCATTTCTTTTTAGTTGACCCGTTTCTTTAGTCATGTTTGTCAATGCACAATTTCAATCATTAATATCTTTAATTACCTATAAGAAAAAATTATGAAAAGTTGATATTTTGAAAATATATATCGTGACGAATCTAACAAGATTCCACATGACTATATTTTTCATTACGTATAAAGCACAAAACACAGTCAAAGAGGACTGTGTGAATAGTGCTAAAGTCAAAACGTGTCAACTAAAAAAACGGAGGTAGTAGTTTCTGTATCATAATATTGAAGACGATAAAAT